GGAAAAAAAAACAAAAAAAAAAACGCTGAGTGCCTGAGGCCAGAAAGCTGAGTCCCTGAATCCCTCAGGCCAGATGCCTAGGGGTCCTTTGCTGTGAAACTGGGCAAAACGCGGTATTTTTGCTGACAAACTATGGGAACCCGATAAAGCTGCAACAAAACATCTATTTTTGCAAAGGAAACTTTGAACGGACGACATTTTTGCTGCCGAACTTCGAAACAGCAATATTTTTGCTATTAGCCCTTTTCATTTTCGTAAAGTGTGATGGTGTGATTGAGCAATATGCGCTTGTTGTAAAGCTTTTCTCTTCTTGCCATCTTAAAGATTGGTCTTCAGACTCTTCACTTCGGTTTGTTCGAGCGCTGCGCATGGAAAGAAGTTGAAGTTTAGCAATTTTCTAGAAATTTCGGATTAGTTAAAAAATGGGGGCTCATGGAAAATTCCCCCTTTTGCTCCCGTCCGAATGTATCCTGGACGGCGTCGGTGACCAGGTGCATTCACGCTTAGTGCCTGAACGACTATACAGTCTATACAACACCTTGGTGCATTGACTCAGGGGTGCAGATATCATTTCATGTTTTTTAGGGGTTTGCCAAGTCGGCGATGGCTTTGTTGAGTGCACGGTCAGACCCGATATCCGTACGATTTCTTCACTGTTTTTTTCTCTTTCCTTTTTTGGCATTTTGCAGAGTCTGCTGGGTCGAAGCTGTGGAGGAAAAGAAGATGCATACAGGATGAGTATGCGACGCCGAAAATCAAGAAGCTTCTAGCATTTGAAAGAATTGACCGGTTCGTTTACTGAACATTTGCCGAATTGCCATTCCCTCAACTCTGTCATCTCTTCTCTCTCTTGTGTCTTCCCGACTCTTCTGCCTGTTTAGGAATTAATTTGCGAGCTGGCGTTCAACAGGCTTGCAGTAAAAACTTAGACAATGAACATTATATATATTGCACTATAATTTAGTGGAGTTCCCCCCCCCCGGCACAATGAACATCCGACGATCTGTCCTCTTGCGTTCCCCTCTTCATCTCCATCAACGGACCATCATGATTCAATTTGACCTTGTTTTTTTTTTCTTCTTAAGCTGCTAGCCTGTTACTCCTCTCGTTCAAGGGCTTTGCGTGTGAGCATGTGCGGGTTCTCTTACTCTTTCTTCATCTTTCTCTTCTTTTCTTTTTCTTTTTAATGTTTGAATCACTGTAAACAGTGTGAAGTTCAAAAGTTGGTGTGTTCCGATTTTGCTCGTCCTATTGATGGAAGTAGCGTTAAGGCCAGCCGCGGGGTTGGAGACTTACCTGTTGGCCGGTGCGTTGCTCATCGTATCGATGGAAAACTCCCTCTCCCACACTCTCACACACACACACACACACACACACACACACACACACACACACATGTTATGATTCTGGTTGTTCGTTGCCTGAAGGCCAACACTCACTCACATAGACTTCTGCACATGCCCATACATACACAGAAGGAAGGGGAGAGGATAGGAGTATCACACCGCACAGGGAGAGATAGACACAGCGGAAGACTTGACCATGCGGTATGACAGGGTACACTGAAAGTGCAATTCACTCCACTCAATCCTCACAACCAGTCATAGAGAAAGGCCGAGCAGATCACATCCAGAGAACAATGAACGATGATAGTCCAAACACAGTATGACAATGTTAACGGATGTCCCGAAGGACAAAGTGAGACTGTTCCACCAGCAGCTGAGAACTAAACCAGAAACACTGTTTGTGTGCCATGCTGCAACGTTGTCTTCCGGCATTGTCTTCATTGCTATTGACTTGGTTTGTCTTCTCTCAGCAAATGATCTTCTACCTGCTGGTTTCATGCATGACAAACAGTTGGTTTCTTTGAAGTTTGGTCTTTGAGAGTCTAAATCAATGTCTTAAACCAGATTTTCCCATCAAGTAGGAGTCTATCTGGTCGCAGACAAGCAGGTGCATCAAAAGTGCTGCCTCCTCGTGTATCTCGTAGATATGGGTGAAAACAAGCGAATTGTATAGAGAGACTGGCGGTCTAAACCAGCAGTCCATGCCGTCCTCTTTTCTCCAATGTGCTGTGCTGCCTGGTCCTAGTGAAGAAAATGAACCACCGTGGGCATGGTCTCGCCTGGTGCCACCAGCCTTTGCCCAAGCTGCAAATTTGTGGCGGCTTAACAGGAGCATCAGAACAAGCTACCTAGGAGGGTAGATTGTGACGGGCAAAATTTTCTATCTCAGGTTTCTGAGGAAAGCAGATGTACTTGGTCCAAGCTCTCGTATCCAAAATACGAACTCCAAAGGTGAACAACAACATTTAGAGGTCGCCTGCCATAAAATTCCATGAAAGCCAAAATGCAGGACCTCTCTGAAAGACTGAAACTTAAAAAGTAATCCAGCAGTCCATATGGAAACGCAGATGCAAACGGACAATTTAAGGAGCAGAGGTGTCAAGGGAGGAAATGTGGACTCTTCCGATAAGCATGGTGGAGACCGAAATTCGGGGCAGGTGGAAGAAGATATCCTCATCCATGATGCGCAGACCAGAAAAGCACGCAGTCAAAAGACGAGCATTCCTGAGGAACTGCCAAACTGGTTGTTAAAGGGCAAGATCGCCACCATAACGGACAACAGGCTGATGTGGAAAAAGTGGCATCAGGCGTAGCCACAAGGCAACCAAACACCACGTAGTCCATGAAGGAGGAATAGTACAATGAGCACAAGAACAAGCAGGGTGACGAGCAGGGTACAATAGAGGGTTCAGATTGGAAGAAGTGGCCCACTCCAACAATGACAAGGAATGCAGTCCCAAGAAGGACAAATTGAGGCTTTAGTCTCAGACTGACAGACATCTCTCCCAGTTTCTTTTGCTTCAATGCCTATTCGATAGAACCAACAGGGTTTCTGAGAGTAAAACTAGGGTAGGGCAAGCTGACTGTCAATCCTCCGGAACAGGAGTAATCAATGCTGGTCAGGGTTCCTTCGGCCAGACGGAAGGAAGCATGAGTGTGTACTATGATGTATTCAATTTTGACTTGCCCGGGGAATAGGAACCGGACTGATGAATGGATATGATCGAAAGGCTTAAGGAAATTCTGGATGGGAACAAACACCTGATCTTAGCAGGGGACTGGAACGCCACCTTAGATCCCACCCTAGACAGAATATCAGGGGGCTTTAGATCTGAAGAGGAGGGCAGGACAAAAGAGTTGTTGCCAATTCATGGGTTAATGACAAATCTAGAACTGTTAGACCCCTATAGGTTACTCTTCCAAGATGAAAGACGATTTACCTACCGAAAGAGAAACCGTGGCCAACACGTGTCTGCTTCTAGGATAGACTATTTCCTAACATCCCCAGGTGTAACAGGTATGTTGCATTCTGTAACCATAGGTTCACTACCATACGATGTGGGTCTGGACCACAAACCTATCCTTTTGACTTTGACATCAGACAAACTAATCAGTAGGGGGAAGGGCTTTTACAAAATCAATAACTCCCTCCTGAAAACTCAGGAAATGAGACAAGCAATCTTACAAGTGTGTCAAGATCACAACCCAGACACACACTCTTTCCCAGATCTTCTAACATCCCTGTCCAAGGCTTCAGCCTTAGCTGCCAGGAGGCTTGCGAAAAAGAGGAAGGAAAGAGAGGAAGAACTGACCCGAGCAATAAAGTTAGCAGAACGCAATACCATTCTTCAGCTAGGGGACGAAATGTACGAAAGAGTATTAGACTCGGCTAGAGGGGAGATGCAGGAATGACAACGTTGGAAAATGAGGGGCTTAAGAATGAGAGCTAGAGTCAAGGAATGGGAGGAAGGAGAGAGAATGACCAAATTCTTCTTCCAAAAAATCAGAACTAGGGGTAGGAACAATCTCATAGAGAGCTTAGAAGGGGAAGGGGGGCTTATTTCCGACAAGGGTTGCTAAGGGTGGCTTTCGACTTCTATAGTAAACTATACACATCAGTGGAAGACCAACTTTCTAAGCCTAGTGTCGAGGAGGCGAGATCCAAGTTTCTGAATTACCTTCAGATCACAATCTCACGAAAACATGCGGCCATGCTGGATGAACCGTTAACACAGGAGGAGTTATGGACGCACTTAATACAATGACTCCGAATAAAACCCCTGGCATAGACGGCCTTACTAGAGAATTCTGGCTTGAATTTTGGCCAATTCTGGGCGAGGAATACCTGTCTTTTCTCAAACAGGCATGGCAGGAAGAGGGTATAGGAAGTGAGCCTGCTACAGGGATAGTCACGCTGCTTTATAAAAAAGGGAGCCCAACTGACATAAGAAATTATAGACCAATAACCTTGTTGACTCTCACTCATAARATAGTAGCCAAGGCACTAGCCAATCGCTTATCCAAAATTACAGCAGGTTGCTTCCATCTGGATCAAACAGGATTCATACCGGGGAGGTTTATCTTGGACAATGTCATGTGCCTAACAGAGTCTGTCGGATACATAAGGGACAAGCGCATCAACGCCGCCATCCTCTTCTTCGACTTCGAAAAGGCTTATGATCAGGTTAGTTGGCCTTTCTTACAGTTGTGCATGGAAAAGATGGGGGTAGGGCCGAACTTTAGGAAGTGGATCAGGGTCCTATACAACAATGCACAAGGACAAGTACAGATAAATGGCCACTTATCCTCGACCTACCCTATGTCTAGGTCGGTTAGGCAAGGGGACCCCCTAGCGGCTCCTATCTTTCTCTTCATAATGGAGGCAATAGCCTCCTTTTTGAGAAAGGACCCATCAATAGAAAGGCTAACAACCCCACCAGACCAGCGAGGACACAAGGTGGTAATCCCTACGACGATACTGTTCGCGGATGATCTGACAGTCTTAATCAGGGCAACGGACTCCTCCTTCCAAGCGCTAACAAGAGCTATGGAAGCCTTTCAGCTGGCCTCAGAAATGAAAATTAATTGGCACAAAACAGTGGGTTGGTGGATGGCAGAGCTAGACCAAGAGAATCAAACACCGGTCACTAATCCGGAGGGGCTTCAATGGTTGTCACCTCAACAACCGCTCCGTTACCTTGGGATCAAAATAACAGAAGAAGGGACTCACCAGTCTATGGCGGCAGACATAATGGCCAAGATGTTAGCAAAATTCGGGGCTTGGTCGACAGTGTACACCTCAATATACGGAAGAGCACTGATCCTGAACGCATCAATCCTTTCCATGATGTGGTACGCGGGGACAATTTGGACCCCCCCCAAGGCCACCTCGACCCACCTGAGGAGAATGGTCGCAGCCTATTTGTGGACAGCGAAGCATAACTCAGAACGTTTCATAACCAAGGTGGCATGGAATATGGTAACCAGAGCCAAAGGTCAAGGAGGCCTGGGCATCCTAGACCCAAGTCTCCAGTTGAAGGCCTTGCAAACAAAATGGGTGGTCAAGCTAATCTCACAACCCAAGTTGTCATGGACCTCTATAGTACTGGACAGGATCAGGCAGATAGCTAAGTATAAAACACCTAATAACATGTTGGGTCTGTTCTGGATCATGTGTAGCAACTGGGCTAAAGTGGGCCATAGGAAGGAGAACAGGGACGCACAAGGCGGGAAGGCCAGAAACCCTTCTTATTGGCTAGAATTAATACAGTAGTGGAAGGAAATCTTCCCAGCGAGGGTTAGAGAACCCACTTCTAGAGAGGAGGTATTAAGACAACCGTTATTCTGTAATATTAGCATTAGAGATGACGGCGGAAAACCCCTTACACTATCTAGCAAGGACTCGAGATGGGGCAGATGGGTTGAACACGGAATATGGCAGATCAAACATATCTGGGATGATCAAAACAACCGGTGGAAAATGGCAAGGGAGCTGAGGAGAGCATTGAAAGGGTGCCATAACCTTCACGACAACCTGAGAATAGTCACAGGCGCCATATATCCATCCTGGGTACTCTTGCTGAGTGAGGGAAAGCAATGGCGAGAGGGAGATTGGGCCACATGGGAAGATGATCCGGAACCCAAGCAGGTCTTCAGAGTGTGGGACACGGACAAGGATAGGAAGGAATGGCTAGTAGCTGATAAATACGACATAATACAGCCTAGCAGCACCACTTCCCAACTGGATAAATCTTCCAAAGCTCCACTGTATATACTCAAACAAGGGCTACAAAAGGTAAGAGTAATAGAGATGGAGGAGTATACAGTATACAATTCAACAGTTCCTATGGAGGATCTAGAGGTCGACCCTGGAGAATGGGCCTGGAACATTAGAGATGGGCAATCAAGAGTAGCTAGAAGAATCAATATCCTCCAATATACTACAAAAACGGGGTACAGACTGAGGAACAGATCCAGATCCATAAGTCACTCCCTGACCAAACGCTGGGGGTCCCCAGGAGCCTAATGCCTGATATACCGTGGTCTAGCATCCTATCTATTAGACTGGGTCAGGCTAGGAGCATGCAATGGCTAATAGCACACGTGGCACTACCGGTGAATGTGTGGCTCAACGAAAGAAGAAGTCGTAACCAAAGAAACGAGGAAGCGGAGCTTTGCAGGGTGTGCCAAGAAGGGCTTCCGGAAACACTGGTACATTGCCTGCTGGAATGTAAGGAGGCAGTAGAAATGTGGGAACAAGTTAGGGGGATTTGGAAACAGGTAGTGACGACAGCATTCCCAGTCTCTAAGATTACCATGCTCTTGGGGGATGGGGTTCCCAAAGGTTGGCAGCCCTACCAACGACACTTCTTTCAACTACTGAGACAATATGGACTGTGGACCATTTGGAAGAGGAGATGTCAGGCCACTCTAGAAGGAACACTAATCCATAGGGAGGAAGCCAGGGAGCTACTCCTCAATGCAGTGGAAACACATCTCTGTGCGCAGTGGAAAAAGGTAAGACAGCAAGCAAGACAACAACCAGGTCAAGAGGAGGAAATAATCAGAAAATTTAAACAGAATACTTTGGGTCAGGGGAAAGTAGCAGAGCCCAGAGCCGCACAACTTCGCTTCAAATGGAGAGAGGAGGGATGAGGATATCAGGGATCAGAAAGGGGGTAGGGCTAAAGGAAAGAGAGGAAAATTATCCTCCTAGCTTTGATTGGCTCTCCTCGATGGTGACGGAAAACAGAAAGGTCCTGGTTTGAGTTCACCAGTAAGACCTCCCGTGGGTCAAACGGAAGGTAGGAGGCAGCAGAGCGATTGAGGAAGCCGCTGGCGCATGGGAGAGAGTCTGGGCGGGGACTAAGGTTCTGTTACAGGCAGACCCTCTATACAGCCGGCAAAAGAACAAGAGAACAGAGACAGACGACGAAGAGAAGCGGAAGAAGCCTGGAGACAGTTCATCAAAACATGGTGGGCAGGGGGGAGGTCCGCTGACTAGAGGAAAGATCTTATTTGGAGGAAGGAAGGGCACAACTCCGCTTCAAGAAGAAAGCTGAAACAGTAGAGCACAGTATCAGAAAATGGAACCCTTGTTTCAGCTCCTAACCGAGACTTCACTGCTTTCGGTACACTACTCTTAAAGTTCAGCGGAGGTGACCAGGATGCAAAATGGTAACGCAGGCGAACATGGGAACCAAAGGGGTCAAAGCAAGGAGTACCTGATCAATGGGTGAAGCGATCTTTGAATGGGAAAGTCCATTGAGTGTATAGTCACTTCTTAGTACGCAAGGGGATACTTACAATTTGCTAGAGATCCAAGGGGCGAAGACAAAGAAGGAACGTGGGAGAAGGGAGGACAAGTCGGAGAAGGGGTAGAAATGGTGCATCAACGGGGGTTGCTGAGGAGGTTCGGTCACAGTGGTCTGGAAATAAATGGAATTCTGCCAGCGCCCAAGGTCGACATTTCAGAAGATAGGAACACTGGCTGAGGGTTTAGGGTTTAAGGTGATCTGATCTTTCATTCCAAGGGACAGGGAGGTGGGTGACGAATGGAACAGGTCGGCAAGGACAAAGTATGATCTCTTCCTAGGGACAAAGGTACTATCAGGCAGATCTGGATACTAGGTCTGAGAGGGAAGAAAGGGGCAGGGCAAGCTGACAGTCAATCCTCCACTGCGGTGGAGTAATCAATGCTGTTCAGGGGTCCTTCGGCCTGACGGAAGGAAGCGTGTGTGTGTTTACACTGATGTAATGTGTATTTTGACTTGCCGGTGGAATAGGAACCGGACTGATGCTCCCCAGAATAGAAGGAGCTAGGACCATAAGGCCCTGTTTTCTTAAAAAAAAAAAAAAGGAACCGGACTGACGCTTCCCAGAATGGACATGGAGCCAGGGCCATAAGGACCTGTTTTTTTTTTTTCAAATAAAAAAATGCTGTTGGCATCCTGTTGCTCTTGTTATGGACTTGATCAACCAGGAATGGTTGTTACTCATCCTTGAGTTGCGAACACGCTCTAAACTGATTGTGTATAATATCTGTGTTCTCCCTCATGTTGGATTACTTGCCTGTTGCTTTGCACCTGGTCCAGGCTTATGCGACGGATCACTAATTTGGACCTGGATCGGCTGCGTGGTTTAGTGGAGCCTGCAGAGCCTCAACCGATCAGAATAACCCCGGTTTGTGCTCCACTCTCAAATAAACAAATTTTGAGCCTTGTGGTGTCTCCCCAATCTTCACTCAAAGACTAAGAGACAACTGTCAGACTACTAAGATCATCCAATTTGATTGATAGTGGGCACTTCTGGTCTGAATCAGTTCCAGACCCAGTCCAGAGTATCTGGTGTCAGGATCGGGGGTTGGTTGATGGGCATAGAGCATACATGCGGCACATCGAGATGCGCTGCACCGCGCAGATGCGCCGCACTGCGCATAGTGCACGATGCGTGCGGACCGCGTGAGGCGCACCCCGAAAACAACGGGTCGTCTAAAAAAAAGAACTTTGGGGGGGGGGGGGGGGGGGTTGTGGGCCCGACTGCGACTTAGTGCCAACCAGTACCAGCAGCGGTAGTTTTTTTTTGAGGCCGCGCGCGGGGGCCCCCAAAAAAAACCCAAGGAGATCTGAGCAGTTCAATTTTGAACTGCTCAGACCTACCCCACATGGCCGGTAGTCCACCTTGGTGCCCCACGGGTACGTCCTCCTTCCCGGCCGTTGTGTGTTGCCCTTGGCTGCCGCAGTTGTCATCTTTCCGGCTCCTGTGCAGCACGAAGCAGCCCCCGGCATAGTCGTTCAGCCATAGCCAGCAAAGCTGCAGACAGCAGTTCAAGGGAGGCAGTGGGAAGGAGCCAAAGGAGGCAACCAGCGTCGGTTGATTCCCACCTGCCACTTCCCTCATCGGTCTCCTTGTCCATCTTCCCTCCTCCCTCCTCCCCCTGTTATTGGTCTGCTCCTCCATATTCCCTCTGTCATCAGTCTCCTCCAGCATCATCCCTCCTCCCTCCTCCCGTGTCTCCTCCTCCATCCCTCCATCGTCTTCTGCCATTTTTTGTCTTTTGAAATCCCGATTACCCTCCCCATCGTGTTTTCAAAGTCCTCTCTCATCATGCTCTTCTTCATGGGACGATGCTTCTGGCCTGTGTATATAATCGGGAGATGGACTTGTGATCGAGTTTGGGCTCTGGAGACTTCATGATGCGGGCCGGGATCAGATTTGTATTACATTATTGATTGGCTTCTCATCGAGACTGGGTTCATTGCATCACCACTGATGCCATTTTTTTTATTTTTATTTTGAGGTCCGAATGCCCTCCCACCTCCCTACTTTGTCATTGGTCCCCTCCTCCCTCCTCCCTCCTCCCTCCTCCCTCCTCCCTTGTCGTCATTATCCTCCTCCCTACTTCGTCATAGTTCTCCTCCTCCCTCGCTTGTCATCGTGCTTGTCTTCGTTGTTCTCTCCCCCCACCCTCGTCTTTCCTCTGTCCCCCCATCGTCATTGTTCTCCTCCACCCCCAACCCCCGTCGTTTTCATTCCCCCTCACCCCCCGGTCATCATCGTTCTTCTCTCCGTCGTGTTCATTCCCACTCACCCGTCCATCGTCATCGTTCTCATCCACCCCCAAACTCCACCCCTCCATCGCCATCGTTCTCCTGCACCTCCAAACTCCACACCTTTGTTATGAACATGATTGTCTGCCGAAATTTTATCAGCACTCACTCACGGTACTCCCGTACACGCCCATACATGCACAGAAGGAAGGGGAGAGGTAGTGGAGTATCACACCGCCCAACAGGAAGAAACGCAGCGGAAGACTCAGGGGAGCGAAGTGACAGAATACACAAACAGTGAATTCTCTCCACACAATTCCCAACAATCATCCATAGAAGACAACCGAGTGACCACAGCCAGAAAACAATGAAGAGATGACAACTCAAACACAGTATTGCAACTGTTTATTAAACTCGTAGCACCATTTTCACTGAATGACCTCAGGACCCTGTTGCGCTACCCTTAGAGGGGTAGCGCCTCAACCCCAACACCCCGAACAGCTAAAAATAGCACCGAAACCCCAGGTAACACCCAGCGCCACCCTGACATCCAACTCAGTGGCCTGCGCCAAAGTGAAATAGGCTCCCAGAGCCAACCGCCATCCAGATGATGAAGAAGAAGCTCAGCGCCAACAGTCCCTGATGAAGATGAAGTCCAGACGATGATATCTCTGAGAAGATGCAGCTATGGCTGCATCGCCACTGGGACCCTACTCCTGAGGAGGGTCAGCAGTGCACCACGTGCTCCAACGCATCAGACCTCCGATAGCCCAGACCGCTATGACTCCCAGAGAGTCAGAGCGGACAGCGTTGACCCCAGTCCGGTCAACGCTCCGAAGGTTCGGCTATGTCCGCCGTGTCCAGCACCGGAATCAGCAACCACGGCCTGATAGCGTGTGCGCAGCAACTTCCACCACGAAGTGTCAACTTCCAAAAGCCCTGGACCGGTGTCCCCATCCTATCTATCCTCTACGCTAGCCTAGACCGACCTAGACCGGACTGACTGACTGACCAGTACCGTTTCAGTTTCGGCCTCTAGGGCCTCTCCCTACCCGGCTATAGGCTATAGGACCGTCTACCAGCGGAGGCCCATAGGGCCCGTCTGTCCTAGGGGTAGCCCGGGTCTGCTATTCGCAGTTAGGGTAGCTGTAGGAAAATCGAGTTAGTACAGGGACCATATTTCTATATTTACAGATATGTCCCTCACGAGTTTTCCACACAGGCAGGTCTCTCGGTTAGCCCTCAGCCAACAAAATTACGAATCTACCCCTAACTATAGTACAGCCTCGACAGAGTGAGGCCACAGGCAACATGGAAACAGCAAGTCATTGCACCTTGTCGTTTCCATTCCCCCTCACTTCTCTCTTTTCTTGTCATTCATCCATCCTCACTCTCTCTGCCATCTCTGCTTGTTTCCTCGGCATTGGTAATTGCCATTTCGCTACTTTAGGGGTCTGGTGATTGCGTTGCTGTGTGGAAGATGGTAATGGTAACCTGGAAGATGGCAACGCCACAATGCTAGTTCACTTGCTCTTGCAAGCCTAATATCGACTGTTCTCGCGGTACTGCTGTGAACAGTGGGACGCAGTTCACAAAAGTAAAAAAAAAGAAAAAAGAAAAAAAAAGAAAGAAACGGTCCAATAAGTGCATGCAGCCCTGGTGACCCGCCTCAGCTCGCCCCCAGCCCCCTGCCCCAAAAAAAAACCCTACGCGCACCATGTGCACTTTGTGCACCGATGCGCGCCCTATCCAGCGCAACGGTGCACGACGTATCGCCGGGCAGCGCAGCACACCGCGCATCGATGCGCTCGCATAGCACTTTGGTGCGCGCTGCACAGGTGGATGCACGGTGCACCGAGAGTGTGAACGAGGACAAAGTTTACCATCATCCACTTTGATCCTGCCACTAGGCATTTGATTCAAGCATTGGACGATGATTCAAAGACTTTGTCGCATTTCTTCAATGCGGACACAACAACGATCATAACAATCTCCTTGCACAGCGCACCGCATCGGTGCGCAGCAACTATGGAAAAAACCTGGCCTGGATCTTATCTTCACCGGCGATGTGTTTGATGGAGTGGAAAGAAAGGTACAAGGGGTGCAGTAAATCAGTTTGTGCCAACTTTGTGGCACTTTGTCCTCCACTAAATCAGTAATTAGTAAATTACCCTGTTGGCAGACTCCCTGTCATAAGTCCTCTCGTGGAATTGGTAAGTGGGTATCCCCACTCTCTGCCACCGGGGTTAATGGCATAAACAGTAATAAACACTGAAACTGCTGTTTGGTGGATATTTCTGTTTTTCTTTCGCCAGTTCTTTATGGCGCCTTTTTTCTGTTTCGCATTTATGTGTGTGAAGTTTTTAAGGGTATTGAAGGCCAGGAGGCAGCCTTGCCGGAAAGCAGCAAAGAAAATGAAGATGCACAGCCGGGCCAGGAGGTGACCCTTTGCAGCTTTGCTCGTGACATGCAGGAGTGAGCTTCCGGCTGCCTGCGGCAACAGTTTATTGCCGAAACGTTTTCTGGTAGTGCTGTCACAAGTCGGGGGGTGTGGGATGGAGAAAGAAACATTTCCAGGCCCGGCATGCTTTTACGGCCATGTGCGTGCATGGCCCAAAAAGGGACATGAGTATGCGGAGCTAAACCTTTCAAGTCCTTGTGTCGGTACTGTGATTTCCATAAAGGGTCTCAAAAAAAATTCAGCTTGACCCCAGGTTGACCCCAGTTGGTGGTGAAAGGCCATAAGGCTCTTCGGTTCACATTCTGAAATGGAGTATAGTAACTGGGAAGCAGAGTAGATCTTGTCTATGGTACATTATCTTTATGCAAGCATTGATATGGTGAAAGAAAGAAGAGCTTCACAGGCAAGATAATGGAGAATGTATGAGAAAGTTCAGGTGTCGCACTTAGGTTGAGAGGTTTTACTGTTCCGAAGAACATCCGGTTTCGGAGAATCAATCAATCGTTGTATGATTTCCAAGAAAAGAGTTCAGAGTTAAGGGGAAATCCATCAGAAAATGAAGTAGATGTACTAGGACATTACATCGTCTCCATATGAGCATGGGTACAATGAATGAATGAGAGAACAGCTTCCAGTTTGGAAAAACGAAAAATAGGGGGAGAATGAAAGCTAAGACCAGAGCAAGACACCAAGCCCGTGGGGCTGAATGGTACACAGCCATGAACTGTTGATAAACAGACCTGAGCTCGAATCCCTGCTGAATCAGATGAGTAAAACAGCTCTGAATTTCCAGGGGCAGCTCAACAATGATACTTCTAGGCTGTCGGCCATTCCTTTTCTTTTTCCCCTAAAGACCAGAGCACTGAGCAAGATGGGGCTCAGGGGAACAGAAGTGGTGAACAAAAATTAACTGCCCTTTCCAATGCCTCTACTACCGCTAGTCATTTCGTCAAACATTGTGGTCCAGTTCGATCCCAGTTTGACCCCAGCTTGACCCCAGTTTGATTCCAGTTTGACCCCAGTTTGACCCAGTTTGACCCCAGTTTGACCCCAGTTTGACCCCAGTTTGACCCCAGTTTGACCCTGGTTGGACCAGGCACCCAGATTGATCACCTGAAAAGTTCCACAACGTGTGATCGAACTATCATGGTGAATAGCCCGGTAGTCGGAGC